TTTCCTGCTTTGGATTGACAGAATTTAGTGGCCATAGGACATAATGAGAAGAAGGTATGAAAGATGATACTGTGATTTCAAAGCTGGCAGAGATGGTTAGCAATACAGCTCACTAAACTGAAGAGGCCAGAAGAGAAAGTAGGTTAGGAGAAGGGGGAGAGTCAATAGGAGATGTTTCAGCATAATGGAGTCATGCAGAGGATATGGTTATCAGTCCACTGGGCACATTTGCAAAAGTGTAACTTTATTTTTTTTAATAAATGAACCTAATTCCTATTATGAACCTCATTCCTCCTGGTCACAGAAAGTTAAACTCGGTGTATTCAGAGTTGCTTCTTTTCTCTAAATTTTTTGTAAGTTCAAGAGGACTTAAACAGTGGTAAGACATCTGAGAGAGCATTGATTATGTTAACATTACCAACATAATCATCATTCCTGCTTGGTCTTCGGTCCCTAGCCAATGTATAACTGCTAAGTTGCTTCTTGTTTTTCATAAAATTCTTAAAACTCTTTGGGTGAGGCTCATTCTTTAATGTATGGGATGATTCTGCCACTCCAGCATCATTCTAGTTTACCAGACGTTCCAGTGGGAATAGTTGTTGTTCCACCACATCCATGGTGATGTCAGTCATACAAGGGTTCTACTATTACTCTCTTCCCACACTGGGAGAACCTGTGTGAGGGAAGGGGGACCAATGCTGTGAGACTACCTCAGACCTATCTACCATTGAAAACCAGTCAATCAGTGTGCTACGCTATGGTCTTGCCACCTCACTGAGCTCCATTCACATAAAGAAACACCAGTGCACCTTGCCATCAGACTACCCAGAGCTTCTATCCTCCATTACCTCCTCCCATTTCCCTTGCCTCCCACTATATGAAACCCAAGACTGGAGAGAAAAACAGGGACACCCCTCCCCCTCACTCTGTGTACTGTTCATCTTCCTTCACTCCTATTCTATCCCTCTTCCTCTACCTTATTCAAGACTTGGTTTAGGGAATGAATAAGCTCTTAATTCATCTGCACTCTCCAAAATCTATCATAAAATCCGAATCCAAGAGTTCCTTCCAGTGCCCAAAAGAACATAGTCTTTTTTTTTTTTTAATTCAATTTAGTTAACATATAGTGTACTATTCGTTTCAGGGGTAGGATTTAGTGATTTATCAGTTGCATATAACACCCAGTGCTCATTCCATGAAGTGCCCTCCTTAATGCTCATCACCCAGTTACCCCATACACCCTCTCCCCTGCCCCACAAGCAACCCTCAGTTTGTTTCCACCCCTTTTGGGGCCATCCCCTGCTTGCTCTGTTCTCACAGGTCTGTGCCAACTCTGTATCTTTCTCATGCCTCCAGAATGCACTGAACAGCTGTGCAGATTGCTCACTGCACAACCCTAGGGGGCACCATTCACAGAGGCAATGAGGTGCATTGCACAACAGTACATAATGGCTTGGGGGCCCCCTTCCATACTTCATACACTTTCTTTGTCATGTCAGAGTACCTCAAAGACTTCCCTGAGTTGGCAGTTCTGAGTTCCTTTCCCCATTTGTGAGAGAGTCTTGCACAGAGACATATTTCTCTATTATAAGAAAACAAAAGTTCATTATGACAAGTGGGAATTAATGCATGTCTCAGTATTGGGGAGAAGTTTGAGGAATGGTGAGGAGAGGGGAACCATGGAGCATATAGGCCTTACATGAAGGGTAACTTCTATTCAGTTCTAGCAGATTCTTGCCATGCAAGGGATGCCAAAAGAATGTTGCTATATCTTCTGATTTATTTGATAGAAGTAGAAATCTGGATTTTAGGGGCATCTGGCTGGCTCAGTCAGTAGAGCCTAGAACTCTTTTTTTTATTTTTTACCTTCCTTAAGTTCTTTTAATTTAAAATCAATTAATTAACATATAGTGTATTATTAGTTTCAGAGATAGAGTTTAGTGATTCATCAGTTGCATTTAACATCCAGTGCTCTTTATAACACGTGCCCTCCTTAATGCCCGTCACCCAGCTACCCTATCCCCCAACCCCCTCCAGCAACCCTCAGTTTGTTCCCTATAATTAAGAGTCTTATGATTTGCCTCCCTCTCTGTTTTTATCTTACTTTATTTTTCCTTCTCTTCCCCTATGTTCATCTGTTTTGTTTCTTAAACTCCACATATGAGTGAATTCATATGATATTTGTCTATCTCTGACTGACTTATTTTGCTTAGCATAATACCCTCTAGTTCCATCCACATTGTTGCAAATACTAAGATTTCATTCTTTTTGATGGCTGAATAATATTCCATTGTAAATACATACACACACACACACACATACACACACACCAGATTTTCTTTATCCATTCATCTGTCCATGGACATCTGGACTCTTTCCATACTTTGGTTATTTTGAACATAGTCTTTTGACATGCAGAAGTCTGCTCTTTCTCTCTTTTTGAGGGGAAAAGGTACACATTGTTCAGAATATAATATTGGTGAATTAAGTGTTTTAGACTTTTGAAAACGGGGGGGAAAACAGATGAAATATGTTTTTTTTAATATTCTTAAAATCAAAATCTAACAAATTAGTAAGAAATTTCCCAAGCAAAATTCAGGTGTAGGGTAGGCAACTTCTAAGATGGCTTTCAATGATTCCTGCCTCCTGGTATCCATGCTTTTATGTAATCCTTTCCTATTGAGCCAATCACTTCTAATAGATAGTATAGAGTTGACTCTTGAACAACATGGTTTGAACTACATGGCTCCACTTACACACAGATTTTTTTCAATAAATATATAGGAGGGGTGCCTGGGTGGCACAGTCTGTTAGGCATCCGACTCGGTTTCAACTCAGGTCATGATCTCAGGGTAGTGAGATAGAGCCCTCATGGGGTTCTGCACTCAGCTGGGGGTCTGCTTGAGATTCTCTCCCTCTCCCCCTGCCCCTTCACCACCTCCCCTATGCTCTCTCTCTCTCTTCAAATAAATAAATCTTAAAAAAAAAAAAAGATGTGGTATATATACAATGCAATATTATTCAGCCATAAAAAAAAGGAGGAAACCCTGCTATTTGTAACAACATGGAAAAACCTAGAGGATATTATGCTAAGTGAAAAAAGCCATATATAGACAAATACTGTATGATCTCACTAACATATGAAATCTCAAAAAAATCAAACTCATAGAACTAGAAGGTAAAGTGGTAACTGCCAGAATTTGGAAAGTGGGGGAAATGGAGAGATGTTAGCCAAAGCAAACAAATTTTCAGTTATAAGATGAATAAGTTCTGAGGATCTAATGTACAGTATGGTGACTCCAGTTAATAAAATAATGTATACTTGAAATTTGCTTAGAAAGTAAATCTTACCTATACTCACCACCAAAAAAAAAAAATTGTAACTATTTGAGGTGATGGATGTGTTAATTAGTTTGATTGTGATAATCATTTCACAATGTATATGTACTTCAAATCATCACATTTGATTGTTTAAACATAAACAATTTTTATTTGCTAATTATACTTCAATAAACCTGGGGAAGAAAAGTTATAAAGAATGGTTGGGGTAACAGATATGTTCACTATCTTGAATGTGATGATGGTTTCAAAAAAGTATATGTGTCAAAACTTATCAAATTGTACACTTTAATATTTAAATTTTTATGGCATTTATATCTCAATAAAGTTTTTTTAAATAGTGATAGCTATTAAAAAAGACCTTGACAGAATATTATGCAACTTTGAAAAATATCACTTATGAAGAATTTTAATGAGACAAAAAATACTTATGGTATATATCATGTTAGAAAAGCAGGATATCTGATTACAAGTATATGATACAGAACTATTCATAACAAAATATTAAATAATAAACTAGGCATACCTAAAACTTTCTTAAGAAACACATGGGTTGTTTCTGAGAGATTGGGCTCAAGTGTTAACTTTTCCTTCTTTGTAATTTTTAATATTTTATAAATTGTCCAAAATTAACATTTAATTTTTGTAGTAACAAAAAATTATGTTTGTTTACTTAAAAAAAGAAAAAGTATAGTTCTCAGGTCTCCACTAGTACCTTTGGAAAATCCAGGTCGGGGAGCAGTGCCTTTGTCAATAGGAAAAGCTGTCAAAGGGGGAAAGGGCCGTCAGTTTTTTCCACACATAAGCATCACCAGCTTCTCTGCCTCAGGGAAGATCAGTGTAGCATATCTACCTGGAGCAGGGCATACCCCAGACCTGAGAGGTTTGTATGGGAGGGCGTGCTCAACCTTCCCTTTCTGCACTCTGACAGCCAGAGTCAGACCCTGCCACCGGCCTCCTCAACGGAGGCTCTCAGCCATGAAGCCTCTCCTCATTGTGCTTGTCTTGCTCTTCTTTTGGGACCCAGTGGTGGCAGGTAAAATGGGAATTTTCTGGTGCGGGGGGGCAGGTCATTTGTCTAGAAGAGCAATTCCACTAAGCAAACCTATGAATGTCTTCCCACCATGGACCCTTCTATTTTCAAAGCGGAAACAGCATCAACCGGTCTGACATTAGCAAGACCTAAGCTTGAATCTTGGCTCTCCAACTTTTGTTAGCCATGCAGCTTTAAGCAAAAGTCTAATCTTCTCTGAATCTTAGTTTCTTCATTCACAAAGTGGCAATAATACTAATCTCAGCGTCTTGTAAGGATTAAGTGTGATAATGTATAGAATAGGCCTGTACATCACACGTAGGGTACCAGGCTCATGAGAGCTATCATTATATCATCATTAATAATACCCCATCCTGTTTTGCCACTATTGTTTTGTCCCTAAGTGAGGAACATGTCTAGGCATAATAGTCAAAACCAACAAATAGTGATAACACAATTTGTTAAGCTTTCTAATTTGCTGAAATTGCTTATAGTAAATTCATTATTTGTAGATGCCTTAGATACATGGAGAAACAGATTTGGAATGGCTTGTTCCAAGAGAATTAATAAGCTTTATGTGCTAAAAGAAATGTCTGATCAGATGAGATAGCAGGTAGAGAGACATGAGAGAGAGCACTGACTGGTCTCATAGTTTAGCTTGACCATATTCATTACTGACTTTAAAAATCCCTTCTTGAATATTCTCTTCACTCAGGGCTACTGAGTCAGTTCAAATCCAGATGTTATAGGATCCCATTTAATTTCTCATCCTCCCTCAAGTAACCTCTAGGCAGATGAACCAGATTTTTGGGTCATGTGACTCAATAGGCTGGATTTAAGAATCCATACAATCCGGGCCTCTTGAAGCTGCTGATGGGACCAATTCCATTATGGTTTACAGCAATGCATTCATGGCCTCTAGACTTCCAACTAGATAGTCTACAATATTGCCTTTAGTGCCTTATGCATTCCCAAAGCTCATCATTTCCGTAGGAATTTCTTATCTTGTTATGCAGACCACTACGCTTCATCTTCTCAGGCTTTCATCTTTTTTTTTTTTTTTTGCATGTTAGGAACACCTCTTATTTTTTTTTTTATTGCCATGTATTTTTGTTATTATTAACATATAATGTATTATTTGTTTCAAGGGTACAGGTCTGTGATTCATCAGTCTTACACAATACACAGCGCTCACCACAACACATA